TAAAATTCAGGAGTTAGCTAAAATCTTGTTTAGCTAAAATGACGATAGAAATTGATATGTAGATTCTATGGGGAGGTATTTTGTAGTTATAGCCCAGAGGATTTATAAATCTCTCATCTTTTTTTTTTTGTAATCTTCATAATGAGTTAGCTAAAATTTTGTTCTTTGTAGGTTTTAACAAAGGAACACATAAACATTCAGAAAGCTACCAAGAATCTGTTAGATTCACAAAGAAAATTTCCAAAATTGTAGTAATTGAAGGAAAGCAAACAAACCAGTTAAGGAAATGTTCTCCTGCTATGTTGCCCGCATCGGTCAAAGCTTGGCTCCATCTTCTCCTCTCTTCCTCTGTTCTACGAGCACAAGTTTCGTTGAAAACGCTCCCGAAATCTCCGGTCTGTTTCCGCACATGGGATGGATCTACTCCGTAGAAGACCGTCATCACTATTTGTCCCAAATCTTCCTTGCACTTGAAAATCTCCACCAGCTCATCCAAACACCAGCTGGATGAAGCATACTTCTTCGAGAGCACGACGATGGAGATCCTCGATTCTCTAATCGCTTGCGTGAGAGCAGGGGCGATGGTCTGGCCTCTCTCGATCCCTTGATCATCAAACATCGAAATCCCGTTGCAGCTAAACTGTTTACGTAAATGACTGAGAAAGGCTTTACGGGCGTCAGGTCCATGGAAGCTTGTGAAGACGCGATATTTCCAGGTGCGAGGCCAAGAAGAAGAGGCCATGAGAGAGGATCGTGAGTGATTCAAAATAAGAGATTTTTAGAGAGATAAGCTTTTTATGGCAAGTGGTAGTCACTGACAGTGTTGAGTTTCAGATCATAAAGTGGTAGTCACTAAGAGATAGATGCACATTAATGTGTATCGAAATTTCATTCCAAAAAGAAAATTCAAAACGTGTAATGTATACGAAACAAAAAACAAACAAGTTGGTGGGCTCCAACAACAAGTTGGGCTTTGGGTTTATTAACGCAAAACGCGTAATAAGAGAGAGAGAAAAAAAAAAACAATTTCAAAGAGAAAAAAAACGTTTCTTTGTTTTTCATTGTCAAGACTTGGAGTTTTTTTTGGCATTGGTAACTTATTAGTTTGGAAAATGACTTCTTTTTTTTTCTTGGAATAATTACTTTTATGAAAAATATTTATCAAAATAGGCACTTTCTAACACTTTCTCCCTTCCATAAGACTATCTCCAATGTATTTTCCTATTTTCTACTCTAAAATATAGTAAAATATAGCAATCTTCTAATTTCTCTCCAATGTATTTCTCTATTATAGAAGAATGCTATTTTTTGCTCTATTTTAGAGAAAATATGAATAAAACAAAAAAATCTCTATTTCTTCCTCTATACTTGGAGATAAACATAGCAATCTCTATTTTAGAGATGAAAATAGAGGTGGGTTGGAAGAAAAATAGAGAAATGCTATATTTTGTTCTATTATAGAGGAAGAAATAGAGGTGGGTTGGAGATACTCTAAAGACATTTTCTTCCAATTTTTCATTTATATATTTGGTGGAAAAAGATATAAAGAATAATTTATTTTGGATATAAATTACTATTTTTTTACTATAAAATTTTAGATTTTTCTTAATTTTCTTAACAAGATC